CCTCGTGAATCTGATGTAATATCGTAACTATCTGAATAAAGCTCATGCCAATGGCCTAAGTGGTCACCTTTAATATTTAAAAAAAAAAAAAAACGATCTTAATATATCTGATATATCTGATATATCTTGATATATCTGATAATATCTGATATAGCCCCAAAAATTTTTTATCTTACTTGGGTTGTATTTATAGATTTTTTGACTGTCATGTGAAATTATATGTCAAGGATGATCATAAAATTGAATGGTGAAATTTGGATCTATTTTATGTATGATTTTTAAAAATTTTTAGAGCCTTTTTTTTTTTATAGTTAAGTTAGGATTTAGGGTTAGTGTTATTAATAAAAGGGTATAGGTAAATTTTAGTAGTACTTATATTTTTAAATTAAGACCTCCAAATTTCACCATCATCCAATTTCTTAATTATCTGCGATATTATATATATAATAAATGTTTTATATAAGAAAAAATTTAGCCTGAAAATAGAATGTAATTTTAAGTGTTAATTTCTAAATTTATTAAACCATAAAAAGAAGCCAAATTTCACAGTAAATTTACTATTAAGTAACTTATTTTATTTACTTAATTTTGATTTTTTTTTTTTGAATAAACAATCTTGATAACTTGTTCCATTTAATCATATAATGAAAATATCCTAACTAGCCAGATATTAAGCTTGATTATATTTAATTGAACCTTTGGCAAACCTATATCAACCCCATGAGTTTAGTTACCTACTAAAAATATATATACAATAATAAACTTTATGTTTATTACTCATGTATCTTATTGGTTTAATATTTATATACTATTTTTTTTTTTATAACACATCTTGAATGTGTGCTGGTTATTACTGAGTAATTAGCTACATTGATCAGCTCTATTTAATTTTATTAGATAGACCTCCATTTACTTACTATGTATACATACTTTTGTAGAATTCCTTTAAATGAAACTTTTCACCTTGTATTTGGTCTATTATTTTGTACTTTATAAGTTTCTATTATTCTTTTATTTTTTTTATTTTTTTAATTTTTTTATATTGCTGAATTGTTATAACAGGCAAACTTTATTAGGAGTAATGTTTAAATGTTATTATATTTATATTGTTATATGCTGCAAGCACATTTCTAGATCTATAAAAGTACATTAAGCCACACGTGCACCTTTTGGATGCCTATTTAAGTAGTCCACCTGAAGGTTCTACACTAGATATCGTACCTGTAATCTAACTGGAGAATTACCTGTTTAAGCTCTCTGATATCCCCAGTTCTGCACTGCCTTGTTTGGTTTAAACTGTCTCACCTCATGCTGCACAAAGGCCACCCAGGTTGGCATTCTCTCACTGACTTTACCTCTTTATTAATAAACCCTTCAAATCTAATCAACTAGTATTTAATTGAGGAAGGGTGCAATAGATACCCCTAAATCCTTCTATATCCTATATATTTCCAGATTTGGTTTAGAGATACTGTGCTACAGCTTTACCCATATACTAGCAAGCCCAGTTACCCAAGCTGCACATATCCTCTACTCTTGTAAGGTTCATTTTTACTCTAGTACTTACATTCAAACTTTCTTTCTTTTCCAGATTCTTTACTAGTCTCTCCCTTGTTTCCAGCCGGCAACCTAGAAGGGTTGGTCTGCCCAGACTTTAGATGCTTTATAGTCTCTCTTTTCTTGGTATATACTTCCAGAGCACATGTTCTTTTCCTCTAGTTGGTGATTTGGCAGTTTGGCTAGTATGTTCTCCCACTTAAGGACCTGTTCACTAGGTTCTCCAGTCTTGGTTTCTGGTTCCAAATTCAGTCTTCCTGTGGCACTGTCAAAAGCTTCCACTACTCCTAACTCGAGTCTTCCCAAACAGGTTTCGATCATTCCAGTTTCTTGGCATTTATACGCTGAAGCTCTCATAATGAGATGGTGCAACCAAGATTGCAATTGCAGATCCAACTAATTGATGGATAATCATTACCGAATACAGGTTTAATTTTTCAAAATCATCATCCATGGGATTTGAACTCTAGACCTGCCACTTGGAGGAGTGCCAACTAGAATACTTCACTAAGTTGCTACACCCTTCTCTATTATTCTAATTTGTAAATATGTATAAACAATATTACATAAAATTTAGCAGAAAAGCATTATTATTATTTTTAATAAGGTAGAAAATGGCAAGCAATTACTTTACAATCCTAAACATTGTGTAAACTATGATTGGTTTATTTAAAAAGATGTGCTTAATATTATTAAAGCTCTAATAAATTAATGCTATATAATATTTCTCTAGAAAAGGTTTAATATAAATATATATATATGTGATTAGATTTGGTGAGTGGGGTTTGGTCGTAGATATATTATACTTTACTGAATAAAATACTGAATATAACACTAACATTTAAACTTTCTATTCTCAATAATTGTGGCAAATCATAATAAAATCAGATTAAAATGAAATGAAAGTTTCTATTTAACCCTCTAAAACCTACTATACTTGATTATTATAAACCTTATCTTAAAACTAACCTCTAACAGTATAGCTTTTCTTCATTTTTAATATTTTCTAACTGACCTAATTTAAAGAATAATTAAATTAATTATTAATGAATTATAATATACATATAATTAAATAATGAAGTTTAAAAACCTTGGCTTTGTGCATATTCTTCTAATTTTTGTTTTTGATATGTATTAAAATCTACACCTCTTTCCTCCATTATTCTTGCACCTTCAGATCATTGAATAGAACATAATGTAAGTAAATAAATTGAATCTATAAGATAATTTTACGATGCGTACCTGTATGCCATAGACGTTGATTAATAGGTCCAGCATCAAACAAATTAGAAAGTTCGCTTAACTAAATTGATCAAACCATAATTAATTAAAGAATTTGCTGTATTTAGAATTCATAGAGATGAAACTCACCAATATTTCTGATATTTATATTTTATTAATTATTATAATAAGATTTATAAAAAAAATTTAATGCAATATTTAAATATTTTTGATAAATCGAATACTCGGTGAATTTCTCCTTCCAATGAATGTTAAAATTGAAACTTATTTAGAATATTATCAAATAATGCAAATCTCAAAAATAAGAATACCTCTAAAAATCCACCTGGCTTTAAAACTCTAACTAATTCATTTATTACATATGGCCATTTTTCTTTTGGAATTACAGAAACCAAGTATCGTTGAAATACAAAATCAAAAGTGTGTGTTATCATCAAATGGTAATCTTTCTGTAGCATCTGCTTTAACAAAAGTAAAATTTTTAGGCTTTCGGTTGGTATGGTGATACATCTAATCCAACAACCTCAGTCAATGGATATCTAAAAAATTATAAAGATTTATTAATGTAATAAGAACTGAGTACAGTTTGGAACATTGCTGAGAACATTATACTTCGAATTTATATAAAAGATTATACTCACGTAGTTGCCATATCAAATGATCACGACCCTGCGCCACACCTAAAATGTATACAATTTTTAGTGCTAATTTTTTTTATAAAATATATATGTGTATAATTTAGAATCTTATATATTTAAATTAAAAAAAAATTAAGAAATAAATAAGACCAGTTTATAACTTATCATGTGAATCACAATAATGTTTTACTAAATTTTAAATTCTAGTAATTTCCCATAGTGAATAATAATTTTCGTAGATTAAAATATATTTAGATTTGTCTCTTAAAACCCACTTATATTATTTAATAAAAATCTCATAACTATTAAAAAATTTAAGAAATTTTGCTACTTGCGATATATTATTTATGAATTTAAATCGGTCAAATTTCATTTTAATAGATTATCATAATAACATTTACGCACCCAACATCTAGAATTTTTGATCCTGGTTCAGACAAAATATGTTTGACGGGAGCAGAAAAGTTGCTATTCCAGATATATCTTATCACAAAATGTTGTAAGTGTAATCTTTCTGATTCTTCCTCATCATTTGGTAGAGGATATATGACACCTTTTGCATTTTGATATCTTCTACCATCAATATATTGAAATTCTGTCTGAGAACTTTGTGATTTGATAGAATCGGCTTTTTCACTTATTTTAGATGTAATGCATCCCATACTAATAACACTTTAGATAAGTTTAAGATAACATTCAGGTATCAAATTTTTTTTGGTTATTAAAAGAGAATTTAAGAAACTTAATATTTTAGAATTGTTTATCCGAAAAGGATTCACAAATTAGTAATTATTTATTATGCTTTGTCGATTTGTTTTTGGAATCATTGGTACAATTGATAATTTGCGCACACTACTTTGCATGACATAAATAATTAAATAACTTATTTAAAAATAAGTGGGAGTTTGAAAAGTCCTGTTTTTGTTATGAAAATTCGATATCAGATAATGAAAAAGGAGTTATCCGGAAATAAATAAAATTTATAGATCGAAGATTGCAAAATTAATACTCACTAATTTAATTCGAAATCAGAAACCTGAATACTAGATCTGAAACCCCCTATTGCACATAATTTTAGCATTATATGAACTTACAATCTGGAAACTTAAACTCTTTTGAACGTAATAAACAATAAAATTATCCGAGTCGAAAATTTTTCTGATTATCTCACGGGTTTGAATTATTACATGAATCATCAGGACATCTAAATTATTTTATGACGCATTCATCTAGGATTGTTGAACGAGTGTAAATGAGTCCATTCATAAATGTGCATAATAAATTTTGTGATTCTTTCAACTGGTTCTCATAAAATTGATAATTTATTAATTTTGTTGTCGGAAATTTTTTTCTAGTTGTACAGTATTAAAAACAGCTACAATCATACCGAACTCTCATGATAATTTGTGAAATATACTTTACTCTGACATTATAATATTTACACATAATCATTAAAAATAACAAAGCTGACTAAATTAAAATTTTAATCATCATACAATGAGTACTTTTTAACACACAAATTATTAAAAATAATGAGTGAGGGCATTTTTGAAAATAAGTAGGAATTTCTAGAATAGAAAATGTAATTATGCATTACAAATAAAAAGGATTCGAAAATGTGGTTATGCATGACAAATAAAAAGAATTGAAATGCGCTTTTTCCAAGTAAATTTTTACTTGTTTGTGTTATAAAAAACGTGGTATAAATTTTAATACTGATTAGGTGTTGTAATTTAGTGTTTCATTGACACAATGGTTTAAACGTTTACTTTCCATTTTAGGGAAAATTACACTAAAACAGAGCGTTCCGTGTTATTTTATTTATACATGTGTCATTCGTAAGAAATGACATACGTACATGTATCCATATACCGATTAATTGTGCTTTGCAAAAATTGTGTGATTCCTATGATTATTAAATGGTGACCCTGTGATTTTCATGGTGATGATGGCGGGGAACTTCTGAGATTCTAAAAAGTCTCTCAATCATATAGTCTATCAATCATATACTGTACATGTATTTAATCAATAATATTTGGCCATAAATAGCACTTAGAATGTAAAGTATCCCAGATAATAAGGATCGATTAATTGCATCTAGGAACGTACAGTAAAATACATAGGTACTAAAGATGTATAATATCCTTTGATGTATAGTACTCGTTTATATATCTTAACATGGACTTTTTTTATAAATATATATAAATTAAATTGGTAACCGTACTTCATCAGGAAATTATATATAGTGTATATTATCAAGGATTATCAATAATATGAAATACCCGAAAATATGCACCTTGAATATTTCAAAAAGATGCGGTTGTGGTGATATTCTTAAATATGCATTTATAACAATTTGCGAATAAAAAACTGCTTTGAAATACAGCTGCGATGATCTGCTAAAAAAATTATTTAAAATACAATTGTAATAATCTTCGAATTAAAAATTGTTTAAATGTGCGCTTGCATATATCGTCAATAAATAAATGTAATAACATTGATATAGCGATAGTAACTAAAAATAAATGCATTATTTCTAAATTAGCACGCATCTAATGCAAATTTGAATAAAGCTATATGTTTTTACTGTACTACGTACTAAATTAATGCCAGGATGTTCATATGAAACTTATAGCTAAAAAAGATATCTATTCACTAAAAATTGATTTTCTTTATGAAATCTTGGAATAATGTGAACAGCATGAGATATAGAATCTAATGGTACTATATTATAATCTTGAAGCATTGTTAGTCTAGGGCAACCATAAATCTCCGTTGGTTCAGGATCATTCTCTTTTGGTTCACAATAATCATACCATTTCACCATAGCGAAGGTAAAGTTTTCTGTTTTGAGCGAACTATTAACATATAATTCACCTAATAATAATACCTGATTTTGAAAAAATAAGGTATTCTATAAATAAATATTAATCAAATTCAGAATCAAAATTTGCTTCACTAATCAATTTTTAAAAAGTATTCCAGTATTATTCTAGTAGCCCAAATCAATGACCACGATCAACTTTAAATAATTTACTTTTTAGTATACCCCTTGTATAGTATCCATCCTTTTACACAGTACCTAGGATATTATTTAATTTATTTTAACTTTTTTTCAAAGAACTAGGGACATTGTATGCAGCTTTGTATAGTATATTTATTAACAAATATCTTATTGTTACTTTTTATAGATACAATTAAATGCAAATCAAATTCTAAGCAAAAACGATATTATGAATATTCACAATAACTTGAAAGATGAAAGTAAAACAAATGATTGTAATGATGATGACATTGAAGAACTTTCTGAGGATGATGCCAATGAAGATGCAAGATTATTTGAGTAAATTTGTATAATCGTACACTTTTAATATTTTATATACAATTATTTATATGCTTTCATAAAATGTAATGTTATTAAAATAATATAGATACATTTCAATAAAAGCTTTAACTCTGCAAAAAATTACAAACAATAATTTTTTATATTTTTATAATGATTAAAATAAAAATTCAATAGTTGATTATTTTGCATTTTTTTAAGAATAATTATTCTCGCAGATAATTATTTCAGCAGTTTTTTTTGCAAACGATTATTTCAGCATTTTTTTGCAAACGATTATTTCTGCAATTTGTGTACTCACAGATCGCTGAATGTGGTGAAGAATTGTCCAGTATTTAGTTACAGAAGTATATTGCATATACCTACATTATTTAACCTCCTGATGTTTATAAAACTTTTTTTATTTAAATATCGTTTATTATCGCTATAAAAATTTTATTACAAAACTTATCAGCTATTCCAGTAACAATAGCATGTTTGGTTATATTAGTTTTATTGAAATTATCATAATTTCTACCATGAGTCTCTGTAAGAAATCCTGCTACAAAATTTACTTGCTATTTCAGTGTTAATAGTATGCATCAGTTTTTATTTAAAATTATTGTGAATTTTATTATGTGACTATAAAAGTTCTTTACTATTTTGATAACCTCATATGTGATTGAATATGTTTGTATTGTGATTTCTATTATGAGTTGCTGTAAAATTCTTCTACAAACTTCTCTGCCTAATAACACATGTATAATTTAGCTTGCGTTAATTCCTATAATGAGTTATTATAAAACATTCTGCTACAGAATGTACTTGCTAATGCACTGCATAGTGCTAATATTGAATTGGTTTGTAATGAAACAATTATTTCTTATTTTGAGTTGCTATAATTAACTTTTGTTACAAAAAATACGCTTATTCCAGTGACTACAATATTTGATTGATAGAAATATCATTATTTCTACTGAGTTATTGTAAAAAAACTTTATTACTCCATTGATTAAAGTACGCATTGAGTTCATTGTATTTGAATAATCATAATTCTATGTAGTTAAGCTAATTCATATCAAAATTATTATGATTTCTATTATGAATTATAAAAATTTACTTACTCGCTATTCCAGTTATCTACAGTATAACAGGAAACTTGTCTCTGGTATGCACCCGATTTTCATTGATTTAACCTGTGATTTTTTCATAGAATATATAAAAGAAAATAATGAGTTAAAAAACTTTGATAATTATGCTTTATTGTCTAGTACAAACTATGTATTAAAAATTTTATTTATACTAGCCTTAGGTTACATCTTTATGTCTATACTACAGAATTATAAAAATAAACTATTATGAAATAGTTATACATAATTACTGTATAAACATGTAGCATCGATTTTATATTACTCATGCAAATATAATTTTATTAATTTTGTAAGTGTTGTTTAATAGAAAAGAGAGAAATCTCCATTTAACGAATACCAGCAACACAGCACATTAAATCATAGATTTTTAACACCAAATCAAATGCAGATTTTACAAACTCGCCATTCTAGATGGCATTAAACCATACACCCCGCATGGCTACGTTCCTGGTACTTGTAATTAAGTCAGAGGTCAAACGATCGCAGATTAACCAAAGCTACATATACTATTGGCTAATCTGCGATCATTTGATGTCCGACTTAATCACAAGTATTTGACTGTCAAATTTTGTTTGATTGTGCCAAGCACTAGTTTTATATTCGTAAAATCAACTTCGAACTCGATTCGAGCACAATGAGGTTCATTTTACGCAATTATTAAAAAACTTATGTTTAACTGGTTCAGGTTTTAAACAGGGGGCGAACAGAGTTCAGATGAGCAGGGTCACATCTTTAACTCAGCCAGATATTTGAACTGCCATTAAACACTATCACTTGTCTTTGTGGATATGCATGCTGTAAAGGTGATGACCAATCCGGAATCGAAAAATATGAGTAATACGGATGTCAACCACTACTAAACTAATTTAAAACAACACTATAACCAATATCTAACCTAAACCCTAATAGTGGAAGGCTACAAAAAAAGGCATGGAAAGTCTTGGTCCGAGTAATTAGGGTGCTAAATTAAAGCTCTAGACTATGCCAATTCTGGGTCACGTATGGATTATAAGATTTACTTATCGGAGGGGGTACTGTAATTAGAATAGAACTTTAAAGTCTGAATAATAGACTCTACCTGAGTCGAACTCTGCTGAGCTGTGCAACTCTGAGTTACCTTTATTGCAGGAGGAAAACTCCTTTATATATTTGATTTTACATATAATGGAATTCTAGGAATCTAATCTATTCTTGCTATCTAATTATTCCTTGAATCTAATTTATTTCAGCTATCTAAATTATTCTTTGAATAATTTTTATTCCTATCATTCTTCAGATATCAAGAATTTACTGGGAATCACAAGAATTTGTACTACTTATATTCATAAAATTAGAAATCAAAGATAAAAATAAAATTTGGGATCGATTTTAGCATGGCGAAATATTTAGATTCTACCAGTGAATTAGAATTTAAAGAAATATTGGTGTAATTAATTTATCACAAGCTTTCTTCTAACTTTAAAAAAAAATAAGAATATGAAATTATTTAACAACAATATAAATTATTGTAATATAACTTGCTATAATAATTCAAGAATTTATGTTTAATTAAATGCAACATATACTATCGCTATAAAGTATTTATAATGACACAGCCGGTGGTTTCCCTCTTGCCGCAGCAAGCCGGCTGTGTGAGCGAAGTAAATGATGGAATCGCGTTTCCATCCGTCTGGAGTGGGCTGGGTAGGTCGCGCAATTCGGAATCGGGCCTGTTAGCTTTCTTCAGCTTTTATATTTTACCTCTTTCCATAGTCAAGCCCGTTTTGACAACCTATTGCGCCAGGCATGTGTTAAGACTGCGCTTGCATTTGATCTTCCCACGCTGTTGACTTTCACATGTTTGGCTGTGTCGTACGTACGTATGCACTTGTGAGGTGGCGGCGGCTGAGGTGTCATATGGCTGCTTCTCTTTTCAATTACGTGATTACAATCACTCCACATTTTTATCGGAGTGGTTTAGGCTACCTGCGCCACAAACCTGGCACACATTCAAGACGTGCTGTACAGATTTCTTATGACGTAATTTTGGTATCACTTTATTTGTCCTCCGCTTTGCTCCGAATAATTATATATATATATATACAAGTAACAATAACGAACTTACTGTAATTCTTTTTCGTTAATACAACATAAAAGTAATAAATCATGGCATCGAAAATATTTATGGGAGATATGCCCGAATTAATGGAAATTATTCTTAATAATATAAATCATGATTTTTATTCTTTATACTCGTGCGCACTTGTGAGTCGACATTGGTGCAAAATGTCAATTCCTATTCTTTGGCAAGATCCTTTTTCAAACGAACGAAGGCCTTCATTCATTTCTAAATATTTTTCTTCTCTTAGCGAAGACGAAAAATTCGTTTTAAAAGAATGTGGGATAGATATGGAAATTTCCAAAACATTATTCGATTATGCAAGATTTTTAAAGTTTCTTAATCTATCTCGTTTAGAAAATAAAGTTATAAAATGGTATAATATTATGTTTGCTAATTCAAAACCATATCCTGACAGCTCAACGGTAAATCGCATAGTTAATTTATTATTAAAATCATTCATTGAAAGTGGTGCTACTTTACATAAATTAGATTTATATTATCATTCTGAACATTTTGATTTTAGGCCAGAGATCTATTATTCATTAGAACAAAATGATTATTTTTTTTCACGACTCCAACATTTATCTTTGGAAATATTATCAGGAATTGACATTCAAGGTGCTGCTACATTATTAAGTATCTTAGGAAAAAATGCTACAAAAATTAGCACTTTGAAACTTGACGTTTATTCTGATTATGAATCAAAATTACTTCATGCTGTCAAATGCATTATTAAATCACAAGAGCAACTTAAGCAGTTTACATTAGTCGGTGGAGATTTACCTATAAAAAAATTTCACGGCATTATTTCAGCTTTAGAGAGTCAAAATAAATCTTTACAAGAAGTTATAATAGAGTTTTGTGATTGCGACTCAGAATTTAAGGTGCTAAAGAATTGTAAAAATTTAGAAGTTCTTCGTATCAAAGATTGTTACAATACGGAGGTATTAGAGGCAAGCCTCAACAGTTTAGAAATTACTAATTACAAGATTTACGCATCGACCATAACACAAATTTTAGAAAAGTCTGGCTCATTGTTACAACGACTAAAACTTGAATCAACAGGTGAAGCAACTGAGGAAATACCATTATTACTAGAAACTCTTAAATCGTTCTGCCCAAATATTACATATCTCAGCATTGAAGATGTTGAAATTTCCTCTCAATTCCTAGATCTTATTGGTAATTTACAAAAACTTCAATTTCTCACGCTATCATACGTTTTTGGCATAGAAGATGAAGAACAGAAAATGCGAGTTATTCAGTTTGCAGAGATATTGCCATTAACATTGCAATATCTTGATTTAAAGCTTTCTATTTTAGATTCATATATTGATATTTTGCTCAAAAATTGCAATGCACCCTTAAAAAATCTTATAATTGATCGCTTAGATGATGAGAAAAAAGCTAAAGCGTTAATCAATTTCTGCAAACGAAATAAATCTTTGAATTATGTGGGTGTATGCAGATATTTAGATTTGGATGATAATATTAAAAAAGATGTGGATGTATATATTACATTGGTACCATATGAACGCATTGTTATTAATTGTTAAATTCCTTTATACAGTAGACAAAATTTATTCTTAGCTAATTTTAAGAAAGTTAGTATCATTTATTAATTTTAGATGTTGATATTTTAATATAAACATAAATAAATTAGTGCATCAATAAATTTTGTAATATGATGATTAAAATTTTCAGCGTTTATTAATTAAGTAGGTTCTCCAAAAATTTAATGATTAACATTTGAAACCAATTTTAATAAATGAAAATCCAAGCTCTAGTGATAGTATTATATGGTCAGATCTCTCTAAATGAAATCCTTCGAAACGCAATACCTCTCAAAATGTATATACACTTTAGTCCTCGTAAATACAATTTTTCTTCATTGTTTTTTAAATGTAGGTTAACAAAAAGTCTGGACCTTACGAGTTGCATTCACAAATGTTTGACCGTATTTCGATTGAAAAAATGGTATACAGTAAATTAAAATTTTTGTCTATTATTATAATGTCGAGTATAAATACAGTAATTATAACCGTTAGTGAAAAGATTTGAAAATTTTTTTGTTTTTCGGGAACAATAAGTTATTAAATTTATGTTCTCAAAAAATTTTTAGTGTTTCTATAATAAAAATAATAAATATCTCTCTCTTTTCTTTCTCACTATTCTCACTATACGAACATAAATTATAACATTTATGTTCCCACTTTGTCCTAAAAGGAATATAAATTTTAAATCTAGTTTTCCTAAATTTTTTTAGATGTTATCGGGAACATTGGGAACATTAAATCTTTAACAATGATTATTGTAATTAAATTTGGACAAATTAAAATTGATAAGGGTGTTTCTTGAATGAGTGCCAGTTCATATTTTACTATATAGTATTAAAAATTGTGACTTTGGTACCATAAGATTCATCTTCTATTTTTTCTTTCTTTCTTTTTTTTTTATTTCATTTTATTTATTTATTTCGTTTGTTTCTCGAATTCTGCAATTCGAACCAGAATAAAAAGCGGACAATAAAGTTATAATATTTAACTGTGGACTTTGAAATTCTGCAAATTCAGTGAATTTGGTAAATGCATCATAGAATTTGCAGAATTGCAGAATTTTGAACAGGAACGGATGTAGAATACCATGTCATTAAGAATTCGAGATATCTGAATTTCCTAAAAAAATGATTTATATAAAATAAGTTATAATGTAAATACCGTAATAACGCGCAGGTGTGCGTTATTTTGAGACTCTGCGCGTTATTTCGGGACGCGCATGCGCGGTAATTTGAATCATTTTGACAAATTTTTGTTACAAGAGGAGGCCCTACTTTATAAATGAACTTAGCCGAAAAATTAGATTAAGTATGCAATATGGTTTATTTAAGAAGGCGCGTTATTTTTGGATGCGCATGGGCGTTATTTTGAGTCAAAAAAACAAATTTTTAAAAAAATGAGTTTCGAAATAACGCCCATGCAAAATCGGTATTATTATAGATAAAAATAAATTGATTTTAACCTTCTTCTTTTATAAAAGTTTGAAATATCTTTGATAAAGGGTAGGGTGTACGTAGATCAATTTTCATATGATCTACGTGGTATATTGAATTTTTAAATATTTTAACACATTGTTAAAGTTTAGTCCCGCTGTGCATAGATTTTACACTATATTTATATAAAGGGTTTTGTAATTTACGGTCATAGCGATGTATCACAAATCTGAAAGTAAAAATCCCGAAAGTCAACCCCGAAAATCATAAGCTGGTTTTGAATATTGGAACCTCAACATCAACGATGCGACAATAGGGTAGCGATATATCGCTATGGCGGTAAAATTAAATACAAAAATTACGGAGCTTATAAACTTATATAAAAATTTTATATAATATTTATAAAATTTTATAGAGAGAGCCGCATAAATTTTATAAAAAAAAACAACTTTGTGATGAATTACACTTACCTAGTCCACCCAAGCACTACGAATTCCTGTGATACCTGATTAATCCATGTCACCACACTAATAAAAAAATTTTAAAACAGATCATTCAATAATTATTTTCAGTTTTCACAATTGTTTTCAATAGAAATGTTAAGTAGTCTAAGTAAACTCAGTTCATACCAGATTTAGACATTTCAGTTAAGCTAAAGAATATTAAGTTCGTTTGATATATATTGACAAACTTTTTATAAAGGTTAAGTAATGCTAAAATTCTTCTACCTGAAGCAAAAAGCAATTAATTGATTGATGGGGCTAGGTAACAGTTAGACATGAATTCTCATAATTTTATTTTGCTTTTAAATGATGTACATATTAATTGTATGGATTATAGCTGCTTTTATAAATTTTGGGACGCTGAAAATTTTTCAGATAATCAAATCGATAGGTATCAAAAACTTATCGATTTGGTCATCACCAATTTTTCAAAGTGTTTCAGAATTTACGAAATTAAGTGCAGTTAACACGATTAAACAATTAAATGATAGAAAAATTTTTAGGCGATTCCAATTGACTGCCTAACAAAGAACAATTATAGTTTAGAGAACTATCGATCAATTTATCAAGTTTTCGTGACTAAAAAAAAAAAAAAAAAGCTCCAATTGTAATTATGTATTAAGAATTAAGCTTTCGAAAACTACATCCAAATGTATACCAGATTGAATTGGGAGTTCAAAATGTCCTTTTTTTTTGAAATTCGAAATCGAAAATATTGCATAATAAATTATCTATGTACATGATATAAAGTTTTTTACACACGTAGAAAAGATCTACAATATTCATCACAAAGGGTACTTTAGATCGCAAAATATGGTATTTACTCCAAGTAATTTG